TGCCCAGCGCGCGGCCCAGTGCGGGTCCTGTTCTGGCAGCGGCCCCCCGGCGGCGCGCAGTCTTGGCCAAGGGGCGCCCTCGCCGTGGTGCAGTAGTCCTCGTCGTTGAGGCGCTGCCGGTGGCCGCCCGTGGCCAGTTGCTAGCCCGCCGCGTGCGGCCCGCCGCAGGAGCGCAGCACCGCCCGTGCCGCTGGGGAGTCCAGGCCGCTCAGGAAGGCTCCGTAATTGTGTGGTCAAGCCTTCGTGTGAGCGTCTTCCGGGCTTTAGCCAGGGGTTCTTGGGCGAGCTCCCGCCAGGACGGCAGCGGTTGCGAGCGGTCGTCGCTCTCGGCCCGCGGAGGAGGTAGCGCCGCCGGGGCGCCCCAGCCAGCGGCAGCAAGCGGCAGGGTGGAGGCCTCCAAGTCCAGCAAAGCCTGCAGGCCCGTCCGGCTCTGCGCGGCAGCGAGGTCCTGGGCCTACGACGCCGCCCAGGCAGCGTCGGCGAGCTGGGCCTGGCTCCGGAGGCCGCGGCCGCCCAGCCGCAGCGGCAGCTTGCATTGTTTCTCCTGCGCGGCTGTGAGAGGGTCCAGGTGCGCCAGGTCCCTGTAAGCTGCTAGCACCGCTGTCGTAGGCGGCCGCGGCGGCCCGCGTGCTCGCAAGCGGGCTCGGAGCAGGTGCGTGAGCTCTTTGTGGGCCCAAGAAACGGCAGGGCCGTTTTGCCACCGCTTCCCAAAAAAATGTCCCTTGAAAATGGAAACGGCAACAAAAACTTCGACCGGAAACAGCAACAGAAACGGCTCCAAGATTGGAACCGGAGCCGGAACCGGTCAAACAACGGCGACGGAACCGGTAAACAAACGGCGTCGGAACTGGCAAAACAACGGCAAAGCGGAGCCTTTAAAAAAAACGGCCCTGTCGTTTCCAGGGCCCACTAAGCGTGAGCTTGCCTCCTCCTCCTCCTCCTCCTCCTCCCCCTCCTCCTCCTCCTCCTCCTCCTCCTCCTCCTCCTCCTCCTCCTGAGGGGGAATGACAAGGGGGGGGACTGCCCCAGGGAGAGGGAGTAGCGACCTGCAATCACCGATACTTCGCCGACAGACCGGCGAGGTGACCCCGACGACGACGACGACGACGACGACGACGACGACGACGACGACGACGATGACGGCGCCGGCGGAGGCGACGACGACGACGACGACGACGACGACAGCACGAGGGAGGGGGGGCCCGAGGAGAACAGCCGCTGGAGATCCCCAGGGGCCCCGCCCCCATGGCTGGGCCAGCCTCTCGCCCTCGAGCGGTGCCGCCACGAGGAGGCCTCCCCAGGGCCGCCTCCTCGGGCCCAGGGGAGGCCGAGAGCGGCAAGACCGACTGCAGGGCTCGTCCCCTGGCGGGCGAAGAACGGCACAAGGTTAGAGGCCTCCCAGATGGGGTCGGAGGATCGCGGGGCTACGGGGCCTCTGAGCCCCGGAGGGTGGCGGCTGGCCCTGGGGCGGCGGGTCGGAACACTTCGGGACCCTGCATGGTCGAGGCCTCCCAGATGGGGTCGGAGTCGATGGGATCGGAGGATCGCGCCGCATCGCCGATACATCGGCGACTTATCGGCGTTGCATCGGCGATGCACTGGCGATGCAACGTCGACGTCGGCGGTGCATCGAGAACGTCGACGTGGAGCAAGTCGGGCTCCACATCGAGCCGCATCGCCGATGCGGCGCCATCCTCCGACCCCATCTACTCCGACCCCATCTAGGGGGCCTAGAGGTACAAGATAGACTTTTCCGCGGTCGGGGACGCCTGCCCCACGGTGGGCTGAAAAAATCATACCCCCACCTGGCCCCGTAGGGGCATGTAAACTGTCGAGCCGCCCTGCGACAGGCGTCCCATAGGCGCAATCCCGCGGGGCATCCGCTGAAGGCCGCCCAGTGTCGGAGGGGTTGCAGCGAAAGAGTCCGAGACCCGACCGCGAGGTACAGTCAACCCGAATAATAAGGATGCATTCCCCCCCTTTCCGCCGCCAGTTTGAGAGCAGAGCTTGGCCGAAAAGACGAACGAGTAAGTCCCGACCTGCGTGAGGTCCAGATTTCCTGTCCTGTTCGGGCCTCGCAAAGAAGCCCCACCTCCATGCAAATGAACTTGCTGGAGTCTGTAAATAACGTGCTTTGAGGGCGACCTCCGGATCCTACCCCCACCAACTATCGATTCTCCCGAATTGATGGGAGGAGGGCGTAGGGTTCACATGTCGCCACGTGCTCGGCGAATTTCGACCCTCTGCCCCCGACGCCCGTCGAGCTGCCTGAATCGTGGATCGGATAGCTAAGTAACCTTGAGAAACGAGAAACAGGAAGGGTACCGATACCACTACTCCCCAAACCTCTCCTGGGGTGCGCTCTGACCAGGAGCTCGAGGCGCATCCATCGGTGGCGACGAGGGTCTCCCAGTAGGCCCAGAAAGCGGGAAGACGAGGCAAGGGCAGCAGTATGGGTACCTCGTCCTCCTCTGCGGAGCCCGCCTCCGGAGGGGCAGATGTTTGTCAAACATTGCCGTCGTCGCGAGAGCCTTTGGTCGGACTAGAACAGTCGTCCCGAGACTATTTCTCAAATCTTGAATAGTCCTCTCGTGCAGGGAGATACCCGACTGAACGAGAACCCCAAGACGCTGGAGGCCCGCGGAGGGAGCCGCCTGTTCGCGCCCGCGGGGTCTCACGTCGTCGCCCCCTATGCGCGCTCAACGCGCCATGCCGCGCGCGGGGCGCGTGGGAGGCTGTCGGTGGAGGGGCAGAGCGGCAAGAGGCAGAGAGGGCTGGGCGCGAAGGAAAGGTGGGGTGATCTATGAGGGGGGAAGCAAGGTGCCATTTGGGGGCCCTCAAGGCCTCCTCTTGGGCCCTCGAGGGCCCCGTCGGGGGCCCTGAAGGGCCCCTTTGCTGCAGCCCTCGCTGCCCCCCAAAGCTGTCGCACCCCCATGTGCGCGTCCTCCGGGAGAGAAGGCGGAACGAGGAGCCAGGCAGGGGGAAGAACGAGCGAAGCGGAGACGCAGGTGATCATCAAACATGTCGAGGGGGGATGCTCCAAAACATGTTCGGGCGCGGGGGAGGAGGCGGATGCGGCAGGAAAACGGGAGCGGAAGAAGATAAAACACAAACAGGAAACAATCGGACTTGATTGGCCGGGACACCAGAGACAGCAACGCGGCCCCAGAACGCCGAAGGACATGCTGGTTACATAGGTCGGGATAGCAGAGACACAAGGGTACCCTCGATTTGGCATGGTCGACCTACCAATCATGGCCGACTGTACCACAATTCTCGCCGCCTCCGCCTTTCCCGCGGTGCCGCGACGATCATCCTCCCTTTCCATTCGTCCCCCTCTCCTCCTCCCCCCCACGCCCCCCTCACATGAACCTGACTCGCCCACCCCCCTTCCCCTAGCGACTGCCGGAGTAGCCTGCAAGATGATCCTATGCGTGATCAAGGGCCTACTCAAGTGAGGGCCTCCATAAGGCGGTATAATCGACCTGCTGCATCGCCCCTTCCTCCGACCTGTCAGCAGGTCGAGGATGAGGTCATGATGCAACAGGTTTAGGAGACCTACAACCCAAAGCCCGCGCGGAAGAGCGCATCACCACCATGACACCTCGCCCCACCGAAATCATGATCCACCTTAATGTTTCTCCGTGCTTTCCCTTCTCGGAAGAGGGCTAATTGAGAGAGAGTGCGCCGCTAGATCCCCCAGAGAGAGGGGGTGGCACGGGACCTCCCCCTCCCCCCCTTCCCCAGTCCGTCGTCCAGGGACCCCCCTCACCGATGCGTCGTCCCCGATCCCTTCCTTTCCAAAGGCGCCCACCCTCCCCCCTGTTGGCCACACCGCCCGCCTGGCTCTGGAACCCTGCCTCTGACCCTAACACCCTAACCCTGCCACCCTCACCCTAACCCTAGCAGCCTAATCCTGACACTCTAACCTTATCCACTGGAACTAACCCTCACACTCTCACCCTAACCCGAACATTCGAGCACCCTAACCCTAACACCCTAACACGATCACCCAAACCCCATCCCCCCAAACCATGGGCCATCGGGCTGCGTGGCGGAGGTACACGACGGGGGGGGGACCAACAACCGTCCTGGCCACCGTCCACACATCGCGCTGCCTGTGGGGCCCTGTCGCTGGGGCCTACGGTGGAGCTCCCTCTGGTCAGGCATGCGGACCCTGACCCTTCCATTGGAACTGTCTGTGGAGCTGCTGTGGGGCCACTGAACGTGTGAGCCGTCTACCAAAACGGGCGTGGTCAGGCACACGGGCCCTGCCACTGGGGCCTTCTGTGGAGCTCCGATGGGGCCACAAACCGTGCAATGGTGCGCCAGAACGGGCGTGGTAAGGCATAAGAGCCCTGCCACTGGAGCCTTCCGTGGAGCTCCCATGGTGCAACGAAACGTTCGAAGGGTGTGATCCCCCAATGATCCTCGTCTTTGAGCTCTCGGGTCACAATTAACTCGGCGCCCTGGCGGTCGTTTGGGACGATCCGGGCACCCCCGGGCGCCTCTGACCCCCGAACGCCTCTGCGAGAGGCGGAGCTGCCGCAAGGCCGGAGGCAGAAGAACCCCCAGGAACTGCCGAAACCGGCTGGAAGCGTCCAAACCCGAGCCAACCCTCCCCGGAGCATTGTCCCTCACCCTCCTCCTCCTCCTCCTCCTCCTCCTCCTCCTCCTCCTCCTCATTCGCCTCCACCTCCTCCTCCGACCTCGGGCAGCGAGGGCTGGCGGCGCGCACAAAGGGGCAGGGGTAAGGCTTCTCAGGAGGAGGCTGCCTCTTAGAGGCAGGGGCCAGCCTTAGAGGCTGCGTCTTAGAAGGCGCCAGCCTTGCTTCCGCAGACGAGGCCCGCGCCACCTACGAAGCAGGGGTGCTTCTGAGAGGCTTCCTCCCCCCCCCGCGGGGAGAAAGACTTCTAAGAAGCAGGGGTGCTTCTAAGAGGCCTTCTCCCCCCCCTTTGCGCGTGGCCGAAGCCAGGGGCGGCGAGCCACGGCCGAGGGCGTCATCTCTTCTTGGTCTTCTTCCACGTGCCCGCTCCGCGCCGGCCGCTCCCGGCGCCCTTCTTGCCGCCCTGCTTCGCCTGTGGCGAGGGGGCGGCCATCGCGCCGAGCCTCTCGACAGACCGCCCCAGGCCGAGCAGACGACAGAGAACCATGCGAACAAACACCCACACACACACACACCACACACACACACACCACACACACGCACTCCGATCCACATCAGCTGCGTGCCCAGACCCCCTCGAGTCATGAACTAAACACGACGGGAGGTTTCTGTTTTCCTGTATGTTCGGCCTCTGGGAGCCCTTACTGGGCATCGGGACTGTTAAAGACTACTCAGGACGAGAAACTGGTCCCGGGGAATGGGTCGAGACCTCCAGAGTCGACGATACGAAAAATCATGGCGTCGGGGGTCTGGGTGAGCTCATTCGGTCATCCCCCGCCTTTGCTAGATCCCCCTGTCGTGCGACCCAGTGTGTCTCCACGCCGCCGAGCTGGCCATTTTGGCTGTGCGCAGAAGGGGCTGCAGGGAGGGGGGACAGCTTCTTAGAAGGAGGCTGCTTCTCGGGGGGGGGGGGATCGCGAGGCTCTGGTGCCCGGCGAGGCGCCTTGCCGTGCCCGCTGTGCACGGAGGCGTGGCCGCGCGCACCCACCTCGCGGGGACAGCGATAAGGGGGGGGGACCGGCCCGGAGGGGGAAACATCGATCCTGATTCGGCGGTGCAGTACCGATCGATTGCCGACAGGCTCCCGATCGCGAACCCGCACAGGCCCCATCGGCGATGAATGGGCGCTTGGGGGTCGATACGTCCCTCCCGGAGTCTACCCCCCCGTACCCGCCGGTCGGCAGAAGTGGGTAAAAACATGAAGAAGGATGGCGTTCAAGTAGGCTGGGTCTCCGCCCACCCCCTGAAGAGGAGGGAAGAAGGAAACCATTCCACTCCTGAAGTAGGGAGGCGCCTGATGTAGATTGGGACGTGGGTATCCACAAATACATGACTTCAACGACCGCCGGGTAATGTTGCCCCTAGACCTCCCAGTGCTTCTTCCTGGTCCACTCCTGCGCCTTGTCGTCACGCAGCACCGAGTCCAGGAAGGTCCTGCCCCGTGCCGATGTGGGAGCGGCCACCCCGGCGGGCGCCATGCCTCCACCGACCTCGGTGGCGAAGGCGAAGTACTTTGGCAGCTCCTTGCTGTCGTTGGCCTTGTAGAACCTCTTGGGGTCGAAGTTGGCCCGCAGCTTGATCGCCTTCAACTCCTTCTCGACCTTCGGGGATCTACTGACCCGGGCCAATCCAGACCAGGGCCAGTCGGGCTTCGAAGGATCACGTTAGATCCTGCAGAATCCTCCAAGATCCTGCACGCAAGACCGGGTCAGAGCACTCCTTGCTCTGCAGGATCCTGCAAGATGTAGCGCCTTGGCTGACCCCGTTTGTACTGACCCCCGTCTCGTGAGCCCCGAGACCTCTGGCGTGAGCTTCTGCCGGCGGAGGCCGTACCAGCCCTCCAGCTGCTCCTTTGCCCGCCTTCGCGCCTCCTTCCTCTCGGCCACTCTGTCGTCCAAGGGCTGTGCATGTCCTCCGCGCACCTGTAGTTCCGACGTCGAGAAGTAGAAGAAGAAAAAACGGCAGTTGTTCTCGTACGTACTCGTCGTCTTCTTTTCTGGGTCTGTCGCCACGCCCTTCCTCTTTCCCTGGGCCCCCGTCCTCAAGCGCGCCAGCCAAAACGAAATGGAACAACCCAGCCAAAGCGAAATTAACAACGTCACCATTGAGTCGAAGGGAAGCCCCATCCCTTTGATCCCTGCCCCGCCGGGTGTGGGGAGGGTCCCGGGGGGGGTCCCGAAGGAGAGTCCAGGCGGGTCTCGGGGAGGGGTCACAGATCAGAATACCATCCCCCGTTTGCGGCTTTTACACATGGGCCATCTGTAGATGCGCTGGAGGAGGGGGGGGTCGCCACGACGGATCCGCAAGAGCGGCCCTAGACGGCCCGCGCCCCACAAGACAGCCCAAGAACGCTCAAGGACGGCCACAGGGGGCCCCCAGACCGGTCAAGAGAGCCCCAAAAGGACTCTCAAGAAGGCCAGGAGAGGCCATATTCATTGATTTTCGGAAAGGTTTTGTCCCTGCCCTCTCCCTCCTCATCCTCCTCCTCATCGACCTCCTCATCATCCTCCTTCTCGTCGTCGACGCCCTCCTCATCCTCCTCATCCTCCTCCTCCTCCTTCTCCTCGTTCTCCTCCTCCTCCACCTCCTTGACCCTCTGGTGGTGCTCTCTCCTTCCTCCTCCTCCTCCTCCTCCTCCTCCTCCTCCTCCTCTTCTTCTTCTTCTTCTTCTTCTTCTTCTTCTTCTTCTTCT